ACTGTTTATAGAATATTCTAGCTTTAGATCAATTGGATGTTGACTCCTTCTCTCAACTTTGTATGCATGGAAGGATTCAGAAGGCTTATGACCCACTCCCAAACCTGTCCCAGACCTTGCTCAAGGCTGTGATCAACTATTTGGCAACAAGAAACCAAAGGCCTGAGAGTCTATTTAAGCTCTCTCAACCCCAGTCCTCCTATGTGAGAGTTGACTATTGACTAAACTACAGACATTGTTCAGATTTCACCAGTTTTTCCTCTAACGCCGTTTTTTTTTTTTCTGTTCTAGGATCCAATCCAGGATCCCACATTGCATTTACTACTTATGCCTCCTTAGTCTCTTTTGATCGGTGAGTTTCTCAGTATTTCCTTGCTTTTTATGACCTTGACACATTTGAAAAGACTCTGTAAAAGATCCCTCAGTTTAAGTTTAGGTCTGATTGATGTTTTCTTTCTTTCTTTTTTTTTTTTTAAGATTTTATTGGGGAGTTGGGGGAAGGGGAACAGACAAGTTGCTGTCCTTTTGTTCTTCAGTCTAGTTGTGGAGGATGTTGCTTCACTGGCCCAAGCTGGCACCATCGTTGTGCTCTTCCCGGATGAGGCAGATCAGTCGCCGGTCTCTGGACGGCCACTCACTGTGGTTGCTGCCCGCTCACGCTCGCTGCTGGCTACACACCGTAGCCCATGGCAGCCCACTGCAGCAGGGGACTGAAGCCTATGCCGTCGCCGGCGACCCACAGCAGCCCAGCTCCAGGTTGAGCTGTTGTTCAGCATCTTAGCTGTAGAGGGCAGTGTCACTGGCCCTCATATATGGGATCTGTACTGGGGCTCTCTGGCATCCCAAGCCAGTTCTTAATCAACGCGCCACTCGGCCGGCCTGATGTTTTCTTATGATTAGACTTAGGTAATGTATTTTTGGAAAAAATAGCACAGAGGTGAAGTATCCTTTTCATATCAGGGGGTACATGATAGCAAGATGGTTCATCGCTGGTGAGGTTAACCTTGATCACTTTGTTATTAATAAAATGATGTTTGTCAGTTTTCTCCATTGACAAGTTTCTTTTTCCCCCCTTTCCATACTCTATTCTTCAGGAGCAAGTCACTAAATTCAGCCTCCTCTCAAGGGGTGAGAAATTAAGCTCCATTTTCTGGAGGAAGGAGTATCAATAAACTTGTGGACATATGTTAAAACCACCACAGTGATTAATATATATTTGGGGGAAGATACATTGAGGCTCTTCAAACATCACTTTTCTCCTAAAAGTTTCACTCACTAATTTTATTATTCGTCCATGGGTCATGCCTGCAGCAGTTATTTTTTTTGAATTCTTCTGTAAGAAAGATTTGTCTCTTTTATTTAATCAATCATTTGCTTATATCAGTACAGATTTCTGAATATTTATTTCATTCTTTGGCTTATTATCCAATCTCATCACTTATTTATTTGGTTGCTCAAATTGTTCTACTTTTGGTCATTGCGAACTACTAGAATGCAGTGTTTACCTACACTTCTTTTTTGCCTTTACTATTTACTGTCACTGTTTCCTGTCAATATTTTAAATTCCGTTTTCTCCTAGTCTCATCCCTCCTGCGTCTACTGACTCTGACCATTAAGGGTGTCTTCTTTACTAGGAACTTTGTTCTAAGTCTCTCTGGCTTTAATGTGCTTAATTATGGGGTCCATTTCCTGCACCGATGCTCAGCTCTGATGCCAGACTTCTGTTCATCTCAAATTAGGAGTCCCCATCCCTTCACACGGTAAGGCTATAAATGTCTAATCACTGTGCCATACGCCTGAAACTACTGGGTTGTCAGAAAAGTCATGACACATTTTTGCAATGAAAAACAGAAAAAATATGTCATGTCATGGCTTTTCTGACAACCAATAATACAATATTGTATGTCAACTGTAATGGAAAAATACGTGTTTTTAAAGAGAGGCCTCATCCCCAGTGTGACCGAGGAAGAGAACTGATCCTGTGGTCCTGCATTGCCACTGCTCCTTTTTTTGTCCATGGTTGAGATATTTACAGAAGTTTGTTTCCCAGATAATGGAAACCTAGCCTTCACAATGTAATATCTTTACATTTGGCATACTTTCATGAAACTAATTCTAATATATCATGGATCTCCCAAAGCAAAATGAACATGATAGACCTGGGTTTTTCTTAACATCTTAAAATAGCGTTAAGAACATCTTCTTTAAAATTCCATTTTTATGAAGTAATGACCTCAAAAACTCAGGAATTGAATGAGAGCAAAGGATTAGAACTCCAAAAGTTTGAGGGCTTTTGTCTAGGTGTTCTAGTGATTATGATTCTGAGGTAAATCCTTGAGCCCCTCTGTCTTTTCTTTTCTCTTTATATTTAAACTTGGCATGGCAATTTTCTTCAGAACTTTCAGGTGTAACCATTTCTTTTCTCTCTTATTTTAACTTCAAAGGCATCAGGTGGTTAATATTCTTCCAAACTTACTGAAAGAAATACTTTACTATAAAGGACTATGCAGCAAATCTGGGATCGGGAGGCCCACTTACTCCAAATTTTCTGTCCTTTGCATTGCTCTTAACAGGGACAAAAATGTGTATTCTTACATGTATTACTGAAGTATTGGAAGAATAAAATAATTAAACATTGAAAAATTTGAAAGGAAGGTACTATTATATCCACGATGGTGACATAGTTCCTCAATATCCATAAAGTATCCTTTGAAGACAATGGGGACTTTTTTGGCATTTTGGCTCCCTATCCTGTGTGGCATGAGGAGAAACAGGGTTTCATAAGATGGTGTAGGAAAAGTAAATAAAAGAAAACGGAATTTTCTCTTTGTTTGACCATATTTATAAACTTTGCAATTTTTCTTTTCATATTCATGTAGTCCTTGACTTTTACATTCCAGAATCTATAGAAAGAGAGAGAGAGAGAGAGAGAGAGAGAGAATGCTGTGAGGAAAAACTGCTCAAGGAAAAAAAATTTAAAGCCCAATTATGTAGGATCACGAGGTTTATATCATTTCTACATGCTTTGAATAAGTATCTAAATTGAAACAGAGCTAGAACTTGTTTGATGTTCATCCACCACTAAATCTAACCTGTTTTTTGCATTATGCATGTTGCCATGTTGCTTTACCAGTAATTTGTGTCCCTGGAGAGTTTTTCATTTTTAGGATTTCTTCTCCTGTGGTTAGGAAAACAAATGTCACTCTGTTGTATGAAAAGTTCTGTGGACTTTCAGGCCCATGAATGTGACAGACCAGGGCATGAGAGACTTTGAAAGAACATCTTTTTTCATCTGCACTACAAAAACATTTCATTTCATTCCTTAACTTCAAATGAAATGATTTTGATAATCAGTTTCTCAAACTGTGTCAAATTAGATCTCATTCAGTATGGTGGATAGAGCATAAACAAAGAAGTGCATACTTCTGGGGGGGAGAAAACCAGGATAATCGTGAACTGGCAGCTATTATTTTGGTTAAATTTACTAACAAGTAAATAAATGCTCTCTACCACATCTCCAGCAGAGACTGTGTTGCTCTAGCCATCCACAAAACACTTCTTGTTTGGGAAGCATTCGAACGTGGATGTGAAGAGAAAATCCAGTGGAATATGTTTCCTACAACCTTCCCACGTCTGACTTGGAATTTTGTTCTCTGTGGTTTGCCGAGTACCTTGACCTTCAGGCAGAGCTGCAAGATCTTTTCCATCTGACCTGTTCTCCCTGCACAGGTGTAATGATGGAGGTGAGGGAGTGTTGTTCTAAATAATTCAGTGGTGTTTTATGTGGTTAATTATTGCCGTCCTTGATTGTTTATTCTAATACATTTTCATGACCATTTTATTGTAGCCTGAGGCTAAAGTCCAGAAGACACTTTTACAAACCCATATCACCTCTCTCCCAGTTCTCCATCTGTACTCACTAACCAGTTCACTGTGAATCGCTTAAAGAACTGCAAATGATAAAAAATTTTTAAGAACAGCTGGCTTTATTTTTAGTAGAATAGGAGCTCAACTTTGATCAATGAAACAGCCATAAAATAAAAAAAAAAACAACACATGAGTTTCTTTTGTTTATCAGCTTTTTCAGTGAAGAAATACAAGCAAAATTATGTCGAAATTCTTTTTTAACATAGGAAAGTGCAAGGATTATAACCTTGAACCATGGAAATTAGAAAATCTTTTCTCTCTGTACTCTTAGATTTTCCACAGGGTTGGGAATGTAAGACACATGCAAATTCATGGCTCTTGGTTGTAAAGATATGTAGGGAGCTTGAAAGAAACAGCAGGTGAGCTGGAGTCTGGGTAAGGTAGGAAAGGTACTGGAAGATCCTGGTATTTCAGGCCCAGGAACTTTCTGATCTGATGGCCTGGCCTCATGTTGTACCTCTTTCCAGACTCCTCCTCCTCTATCTCTGTCCCATTTCTACTCCTAGAGCCCAGTTTCAGCACTGGAACTTAATATGATGCTCACACTAAGAGTATCATTGTTCTGATCAGTAAACACCTGATCTTGTTTGTTTTCCTGAAACTCCTGCCTTGTCAAAGGGACTCTCTACTCTGTTCTTTTGGTCTTGTTTCCTGCCTCTGCTCACCATAATGTCCATAGTTTTGAATAATAGTAACTCCACCCAGACTTTAAGTCCTGAATATGTGCTTCACTTGCCAATTTAGCTTTGATCTTCTTTAGGACAATCCCTTGATTATTAATCTGGCTAGAGTGGCTCAGACTGAAGAGCTATAATCCAGTTGCTATGGACGAATGCTCTCCATCTGAGGCTACTCTCTTCTCTGGCAGCTGCAGGTCGGGGGTGGGATTTGGGGGCTACATGAGCTGCTCATAGTCCCAGATGGCTTTCAAGGCCTTCCCACGATATTTTGCCCTCCTTGCTCATGGGAATAACTGGACTCTCTCAGAGATGGTTTCATTACATGGATAATGTCTATTGTTGATCCTGCTATGGTTAGGCATTCACTTTTTTTTTTTTTTTAAATATGCAAAATGTCTTAAAATATTCCCGTTTATTGCCTAATGCTGATTCCATGTAAGTGTTCAGATATCTAATTAGGCCCAATTCTAACCATTAGTATCAAGTAAAATAAATTCCAGTTTCCAGAGATGGTGTTAAGCAAGCTAATCTGGACATATTACCTTTCCCAGCACTCTAACATAGCAGGCTTAAGAGGCAGTTGCATGTGGTTACTCCACATTTCTTTATCATTGGAAACAACCTCACATTAATATATTTCTTCACGTGGATTATTTGAAACGGTATCTTAAATACTCTTTTCTAAAAATTTAGGTAACTGGGATTCCTGAACAGTAATAGGAAAACCACATTTTAGTCACTGTTTTCCGAATGGCCTTTGTTTCCACATTTCCAAGAGAGATCCAGGTACATGCAGATTAACTAATGTTTCTTAGAAGCAAGAAAGAGAAACAAACATCAAAATATGTTCCAACAAGTCTGCTTTACATTTCTAAAGATAGAAGTACCTATTTAAACATGATAGTTTCCAATTTTTGTACATAACTTTTGTCCATCCAGACCTTATGATCACATAACTAACATTCCAAAAATCAGAACTCTATAAAATATATGAAACAAAGAAAGTATCTGGGTTATAGAAGATTTATATCAAATAAAGTATAATTTACATGATTACAAAGTCCAACTACAGTTTCCCAGTCCCGTCAAGTGACTGTATCTTCTCACATTGCAAATGAAATGCTGATGGTCTAAAAACTAGACACTCTACCATGAATGACAAGGAGCTAAGGGATCATCGGTAAGTTTCTTTCCAAGCTGTCAAAGGTCACAAGTTCCACTAGTTCCTATTTTTCTTGTTTGTGGTCCCAAACTGGCAGCATTCTCATCTCATCCACTCTGTTCTTATGGATTTGAAAAGCAGGTGTAATCCACCTACCACAGGAGCACTGCTCACCATACCAATTGAAAGAACCCAACTTGGCACTGCATTTGGGGCAAAGAAGCTGTCCACCCATCACGCCCAACAAGGCGGATCCCATCCACTGTACAGGTTCAATGAAATAGGATGTGCACTGGGCCTGACTCCCTGTGACAGGTAGGAGGGACGGTGCCGTCCTCTTGTGGGTAAAGGCTCTAGGGCCACTTCCCTCACTATGATCCAAAATGCTAGAGCTTCGAAATAAAGATCGCCTGCATTTTCTACATTTGTAGAGAACTTCATCTTTCAATCCTTGTGAAACGGTGGTTGGGTCAGCAGCCAAGAGCTCTCGAGGTATGTTCTGCAGTTCGGGATACTTCTCGGTAAGCTTCTGCAAACGATACTGCTTATAAGCTGCGCTAGAGGTATCTACTTCACACCCCATGGCCTGGTATAATTTCAGTTGCCACTCAAACCCCTCATTCATCCTGTAAAGACAAACCAATACCAAGTTAGGTTTCCTTTACAATAATAAAAGTCACATCACAAAAGCAGAACTATTACGCTAACAAAGAGCTCACTTAGCCTCTGGATTGATAGTCTGCAGGTTCTCATAGGCTTTTTCAAAGGTAAGTTGGTCAGTCTTCATGATAAAAGCAGTCATTACAGCCACACTTCGACTGACTCCTGCATGACTGAAAAAGAGACCAGTGCACCAGCACCGCGCGGCCCTCGGCGCGGGCCTGGCCCACGAAGGCCACGCACTGGTCCAGGTGGCTCAGCAGGTCGGTCTCGGGCTTGTCCAGCGCGGGCACGAAGAGCCTCCGCAGGCCCTCGACCTGGAAGTCGGGCTCCTCCGAGTCCACCGTGAGCACGGCCGTGATGCCCGCCCGCCGCAGGCGGCCCGGCTCCGCCACGGCCGCGGCGCCGCCCAGGTACAGCCCGGGCCGCACCTGCAGCATCTCCGGCGGCGGCCCGCGCGCTCGCAGCCGCCAGCCTCAGGCATTCACTTTTTTAGAAGTGATGAGGCCTGATCCTGAGGGTCTCTTGATACCCTTTTCTTCCTACTGAGTTTATAGCTCTCTCCCTCTACCA